GAGCCCACATAAAAAATTTCACTAGAAGAGGTTGTTTAGATTCCCAAATATCCTCAAATTGATCATCTCAACACAAGATGTATGGAGATGAGAAAAAAAATGGATTTCAAGTTTTGAAAATAGTGCATCTTGTAACGCATTTTTGGACTGTCAATTTTCAAGTTTTCATAGATCTGCTCGATCTACACTATGTTTGAAACTTTAAATGTTACAATTAAATATGAAAATATATTTTAAGGCTATCACAAAGATTTCTATAATTGAAACCACATTTTTCAACACTATTTGACGGTATGCTTTGCCTTTATTGTTTAGAGCCTCAGCTCTATACAAACCTCACCCTTTCCTTAATGTAATCAACATTTTTAATTACCCTTGATTTTTACTACATAGTTTTTTGAGCAAAGGTATTTTTCATCATTAGAAGGGCTCGAATACTAAAATAGAAATTTCTATAAGATTTTAGTGGCATTCTATTAGTAGCCAAGAAACAATTAAAGCTGCATGTGGGTGACATCACACACCATCTGGATTATGTCATTATCCACTATAGTTAATAAGTAGTCTCCTTTACCATCTAGATAATGTCATGAATTTCTACGTTACCCATGAATAATCACCTAATATACCTCTAGACAAAAAGTTACAACATTGTAGAATAAGAGTACTAAATGTCCAAAAATATTGAGTACATTAAAAACAATACACACGTATGAGCACTCTAACATAACCTATAGTTTATTTATTAGTTTTAACAAGACATATTGCCAAGGTATAGGCCAATAGGCTAAAGGGTTCTCTAGAGTGTAATTTTGAGGCAACAAAATCTGCTTTTATAAGATATTATCGTATCATAGATAGTATTTTAGTGGCCCAAGAGTGTATTTATTCGAGATGTTACTACAAAGGCTTATAGTATTTGAGTGGTGCAAGAGCATATTTATTCATGACACAATGTTACTAAAAAGACCTAGAATTATGTAAATTAGATTTTGCAAAAGTCCAGAAAGAGTAAAATGCAACCATCTACTCAACATCAAGAAGTTCATGGGCTTGGGGAATGATGGACAAAATGGATCATGGTTGTTTGACTTAATACATTTTTCCATCTTAATCAAAGGGAAGGCAGTGGGGTACTTTTAAGGCCTCAAGAGGCATCCCGTGTCTCCCTTTTTATTCACATAGGATGCTTAATCATTTAGCATCATGAGGAAATCAGAGAGGCCTTCTATCTAGCTTTCAAAGTTCTATTAATGGATTTAGCAAATGACATGGCAGATTAGCAAAAAAGGGTGCATCTCCCTCTGATTTGGTGATCGCTGATAATGTAATTGGGTGGTAATGATCTGAATGTTGTAATTCCTTGATTGATTAATAAAAGTTTCGAATACTGTCAAAAAGAAAAAATTGGTCCTGTTGTGTCACATCTTCACATGCAAATGACCATTTATGATCCAAACGCTAGCAAATCAAGAATTTATGGTTGTTCTTAAAAGTGAAACGAGGTAGCTTCAAGCTTCGAGATTAATGTAGGATATCCAAGGGAAAAGTGTTCTACGAGTCCACGGGTACCAAGCCCGCTGACTCAAGGAGTTTTACCTATGAGACCAAATGCTGGACTACATATACGCCTAATATTGAATTCTAGGAGTTACATATCGTGCATTTGGAGCAAACCGACCACCTCAAACACAAAATCCCACTGTGTTTTAAAACCTATTGAATTCTGCCAGGGGGAGCTTGTTAACTCTCGTGCAAGACACAGAACCCTTGTACCCTTCAGTAATTGAGTTCACCAACTGTACCATTATGATGCTTGAACGGCGATCACCATCTCAAAAAGCGTGCTCCCAACAAGCAAGCAAGAGCACAAAAGCTGGAGCCCTTTTTGGAAGGTCTAAATTTTAATATAAAGAGCAAAGCTAGTTGAAATAAGTTGAAGTCATGCATCATCATAGATGCATTTTTGCATGTAGGATTCTGCCGCATCCTAACAGACGTCCGTGAAAATGTTCAGTCTCATGATCTGTAACTACTTTACACAATAAATAAAACTATAAGTCTGCAAATGGTTCACTGATTATTCGGTGAAAAGCATAGATCGCATGGAATCCAGAGTACAAAAAAAAAACCCAAAGTCTCGTAATAGCTCTTCATTCAGCACATACCTATAGAAGCACGGCTAATAGTTCCGAATATGGTTAAAAACAATGGTAGAAAAGAAAACAACACCATACCATCTGCATGGCCAATAATTGTAGGCCCCCATGAACCAACATAGTCGATGCATTCATTTCCATCACTAACTACCAACTGATTCACAGGCACTGGCGAATTTACATCACCCAGCACCAAATGCAAGAGTCACATACTTCTTTGAGTCAAAAACTCGACAAAAGAACAACTCCCTTGCCATTATAAGTTGAAGATTGTGATGTGCTCAATTGAAAAAACAAAAAAAAGTACTGGCTGAATGAATTAGTTCATTTGTACACACTTGATCATGATTGTACAATAAACTCTAGGAACAACATCGAACTTAACCAAAACATCGATGCAATGCTAAAAGCCCACAGAGTAATTCTTGCTAAAATATTAAAACACTGACGTTGAAGAGAAAAAAATTTGACAATTTTATTCAAAACACTTCTATAAGTTAACAACCTGACAAAAGAATAACTCCCTTGCCGCTTTATGGTGAAGATTGTGATGTGCTCAATTGAAAAAAAAAAAAAACAGAACTGACTGAATGAATTTGTTCATTCTACACAACAAAGCTCAATTATTTTAGTTTGTTTTGATCATGCTTGCACAATAAACTCTAGGAATAACATCAAACTTAAACCAAACATAGGTGCTACACTGAAAGCCCACACAGTACGTCTAGCCAAAACATTAAAACACACTGTCGTTGGAAAAAAAAAAAAAAAGAGTTTGACAATTTTATACAAAATTCTACCAGAGTGGGTAGCATTGTAACGATAACCAAAATTTCAACATAGCTAATAATACAACAGGAGACAGATTATGAGCAAAATCACACTGTTCATGGACCAAATTTATCAACTATCAAATGAGAATAAAGGGTCTGCTTCTACTCTTCCATTATATCAAAATGAAGCAACTATCAAACAAATGAACTCTGATGTAGAATACCACTACGGTATATTGTATAAAACGAATGCTTAAATTCCAAATTCTCAAACTTGCGGCCTCTTTTCTGCAAGATTACACATTGACTTCACTTTTGGCAAAATCTTTCTGAAATTCAGATGCAGGACTCAAGACTAAACCAAAATGGCATAGGATGGAGATCAAAGGACCCTAGTAGACACTAGGGACCCAATGTCTGCTAACACTCCATCTAGATTACCATTCAAGTTGGCAAAAATTCACCAAATTTCCCAATAGTGGAGAGGGCTTTTAGAAAAAATTGAAAAAGAAAACATAAACATAGAGATAAGATGAATTTTAACAAGCATCTCTGAAATTGAAATCAAAATATAGACTAAAATTTGACAATTTTAGCACCTCTATTTTGATTTATTTTAGAGTGGAATAGCAGAGCAGCATTTGTGTGGCTGACCACCAATGGTTGGGGTGAGGCTCAAATGATGGTGATGATGATATTTTGATTTATTTCATCAGGCTTGCTCCAACAGTAGACAAAATTCACAAATTTCAAGCTTTTCTCCCATTTTATGGTTTGCCCAAAATATGGTCCAAAGTTAAGGAAAATCATTATTTTCCCCCTTAACAAAATTACGCCAACAATCTATGCATTAGGTCAATACAGAAATCCAAGAGCCTAAAATCAGGGAACACAGATTAATAACCAAACGGAAGCCCCAAATTCATCGAATCTGCATTTCTCAAACTGAAAATCCACATACATATAATTCAAACAATGAAGAACAGTAGAAATTACAGGTACAAACATGAATGAATCTTCTGTTGCCAATCAATAACTAAAGGAAAATTTATCAAAATATACCTAACCTTTCAACAGTCTAACAATTTATCCTTTTTCAAATATTCCAACTAATGGTCATGTGTATTTTTATGAATATTTCGAAGCTAAATCAAAAAATACGGATAACATGTTATATAGTTGATCTCTTAGGTGTATTTTGATAAATTCCCATAACCAAACTCTAAAGCTCCCAGAACAACCAAAAGTTCATCAAATTTATCACTTTTCACGACCAAAACAGAGCATGGATTTTCGCAGCAGACAATAAAGAATCAAAGCACAAATGATGCCAAAACCTTCCATACCAGATTCCAGAATAAACCCTGACCCTAACTCTTACTTTTGCAGGTTGAAACCCTATTTCGATGGAGTGAACAAAATAATCATACCTTGATGATTCAAAGCTCTACTGCGACATCCTCCTCTTTTCATCATGATCTGAATCGAATGCTTCTTAAGAAGGAGACCACCAAGATGTGGTTTCTCTGATTTTGTTATGCACTGCACCTAACAGTCCAATAAAATCATAGAGAAGAGGGGAAGGGAGAAAAAGGGGACAAAGAGGAACGGAAGGAAGAAAAGTTTTTGTTTTTTGTGGGTTTTTTGTTTTGTTGGGGAAGGGGAGGGTTTGTTGGGATGATGAGAGAGAGAGCTAGAGTGATTTGGGCTGGGAAAGAGAGAACTTTGGGTCAGCTTTTCAGATGAAGATAGAGAGTCTCTGTTTATGGTTTTAGATGGAGAGAGAACTTCGGGGTAGGGAAGGAAAGAGATGGAGAAGGCAAGGGTGCTTAAACTTGAAGGCCTGAACTGAGAGCTTCGGTCTTAAAACACGAGGGCCCAATAAAATTGCATGAAGTTATACGTGATAAATTAAAAAACGGGTTTTGCAGGAGATAATGTTATATTGAAAAGAACCAATAATTCTATCTCATATAAATATTGCCAAACAACTAAGAAGCCGTTATAATCAATAACTTTAAAGAACCGATAATTCTATCTCATATAAATATTGCCAAACAACTAAGGAGCCTTTATAATCAATAACTTTATAGGAACAGTGAATTATTAGTTATAATAATTACATTCAATAAGGCCATAACTTTATGCTTCTTACAATTTACATTAACATATATCGCATGTGATCAAGAATAGTATGCTTTCCAATGCCAGTATACTGCCACCCGTTCTCAAAGTGGGTAAAGTATGTGGTTCTTGAAAGTACGTGCTCCACAAGAAGGGGGAAAAGCATTAGAATAACCCTAACTGCTGTATTGGTGAAACCTACTAAATAACAGAACTAGACAAGCAAACATGAAAAGAAACAAAAAACATAACAAAATAAGATACAAAAGGAAAGGCGGAAAAACAGAGGAAAAATCAACTGTGGATTTCCATACACGAACAACACAGCCATTGAATAAAATCATAGACGTCATCTGTGGAGACCAATTTTAACAAAACCAACTTAGCCAACTGCTTCACCTTTTAAAACTGCAATGCTTTCAGAGCCTCCACCTCCGTCTATCCCTGCCATTTGAAAATCGGGATAGTTCCTCTGGTTCAGAGAGTGCAACCAAAGGGCAACAAGACCTTCTTTATGTTCAGTAGATGCGATGTGGGAATATATGTGTTTCATTTTGAACTCTTCAGCTTGCACTGCATAATCCTTAAGAGACAATTCCTCATGTGAATCGCTCCATTTCTGGTTATATGAAGTATAGAGACACTCATCCAAAAACAGCCCAAGCTCGGGAGCAGTTGGAACATTGATTCTCAAATCCCTGGAAAGTTTCACATATTGCAGTTTTCACCAATCAGTAGAGAAAGCATCACTTGGTTAACAAATTCTCAGACCAGACACAAGGGCCAAAGGTGGTCATCAATGAGTTGTTTTGCAATCAATTTTTTATTTTTTCTGGCCAGCATTATTATTTAGGGGAATAGATTGATACAGATAAATAGACATTAGAGGTATGGATTTAATACAATAAAGAACAGTAAACAAAAAAGAACAGAAGACGCCAATACAAACAACCAAAAACAAGTAAATTCTGATTTTTTTCACGCACATACCAGAAATTGCATTATTTCAAAGAAGCAAAAAGAGCAAATTCATGGAAGAAATTGGACTCAAAGAAGCCAAAAAATAGATGAGCATTTTAATTCAAAAATCCAACCTGAATGGCATTGGGAGGAATGGATTGGCTCAATGCATCCATTGATAGATTATCAAAAAAAACCATGAAAAGGAATTTCAGATTAGTAAATAGATTAATCTGAGGGTACCACAAAACAGATTAGATTTGAAGCATGCATAAAAAAGGTAATTCATGCAAAGTACATTCACTTAAACAAAAAAAAGAATTGATTCAATGCAACCAGAATACTCACTTCCTTAGAGCAGTGGCTATCATGGAGTCAGGAGCACATCCTCGCATAATGGCCACAGCAAGCCCAACCATTTTGCGAATTTGGTGGAGCATGAAGCTCTGACCCAAAACCACACACTTGATGAAATCAATACCATCCACTGTAACAACTTCATTTGCTTCAAATGATAAAATGTATCGAAAAGCAGATGGACATTCTGCCTTGGTTCGAGTTGTCAAATTATGGAAATTGTGAGTCCCCACATATTGCTTGAGAATTTTGTTAAATCTCTCCTTTACCTCCTCACTGTAAATGAAACCAGTGTTGTCTGTGGTCACTCCATTTGATAGATCCCCATCTCTGGGTTGATCGCCTGTGATGTGGATTTCAGTTTCAGTTTCATTTTTCAATGAAGAGTCTACAGACACCCTGTGCTGCAGGTTCTTACCATTTCCTTCCCTACTGTCTGAAAGAGAAACACCATTTCTATTTTCATAGAGCTCACCTTGAACACCATTGTCAGTTCCCAATGCAGTGAAACCAGCATCATTCTCAGAAACCCTAGTTTCCACCTCAGAACCCTTAATTTCAAGGCCCGAAGCACCTACAACTTCATCTTCAGAAACCTTAGTTTCAATAGTACGTCTATTAACCCTAGTTTCATTAGATCCTCCATCACCTTCAGAAACCTTAATTTCACAGGCACCTCTTTCTTCTTCAGAAACCCTAATTTCACCTGCGCCTCCATCATCATCATCAGTAAACCTAATCTGAGCACCACTTCCATTTTCCTCAGAAACCGTGTGCTGGTCACCACCACCTTCATTATTTTCCCTAATTTGAGCAGCATCCCCATTACTCTCTGAAACCTTAACCTTATCACCAGAAACCGTAACCCTACCATCGCCATGGCCCATGACACCAGGCACCTTGCGTCCACGCTCTGAACACTCAGTACACTTCACAAGCTCATTATCTGAACCCAAGCTCGCGGCCACTGCCTCTCTATCAGGGTGCGCACTAGGATCAAGAGCAAAAACAGGCAACAAATACACATACCTTCTTCGATCACAGAACTTCTTTGCATTAAACGAAGAAGTGACTCTCTTAAACCCTAAAGCCACAATTTGTTCAGGAAGATGAGCATTAAGGCGCGAGATCATACCAGGTGGATCAATGAAAAAACGTCCTGAAACCACTTGGCCGATGGCACTCACTCCTTTGTCAGTTCGAGCCGATCTCATCCAATCTACTCGACGCGGGTCACCGAAGTCAGATTCGGCAATTGCGCCCGCTCTAAAGAGGGCGAGCTCGAGGTCACCTTCAATGGTCTTGGCGCCAGGGTTTCTCTGCATGCCTTGATAGCCAACACCACAGTAAGCAAGGAAAATGGCGATTTTGCGTTTTTTGAAGCGTTTCTTGGGAGCTGATGCGTTCTCGTCATCTGTGGTGGAAGGGGTCATTTTGAGGCGTTTAGGGCTTGGAGGTTTAGGGGCATCGAGTTGCAGCGGCTCTAGAGTAAAGGCCATCGCCGATGGGAAGAGGAGTGATGGTTTTCAGTGATAGGGTTTAAACTTGCATTCAAAATTGTTTAGGGACCTTGAATCTCATCCGAGGACAAACAGGCTTGTAAATGGGCTCGTTTTGGGCCGCCTCGATCGTTCTACAGTGTTAGTAGGCCCACGCTAGGCTTGGGACCATACCAAATTCACAATAACGAAGCCTTAGCCTGGCCCGGACAGGAAAAATTCGGCCAAACCAACCCTCAAAAAATACGGAAAATGTAATATATGCATGAGAAGGTTTTGGGACAAGCCTTGTATCTTCGGAGACCTCCGTTAAAATCGGAACGATACAGAAAAGATGAACATGGCCTGTGCCCAAGGATGACACGCACAAGTCGAAAAATGGTCCAATTTTAGGAAAAGAACCTGAACTTAATTGATTACTACTCGATAATTTGATTTTATGTCTTAGGCTCAATTTCTACTAAAAGTAGGGGCTCTCGCCGCACTAAATCAGCCACCAAAAAAAAACTTTTGGGTCAAGCCCCATTCCCGAGAGGTGGTCAACCTGTTGAGGATTTTTACTGGCCACGACCATAACACCCAGTCTAGATTCCCCTAAATTTTCAGCTTTCTCATCTTGCGATGGAGTGTTGTCCGGTTAATTGAAATCATGTTTATGCATGAATCTGTGTTGACTACGGCTCCTTTGCTTTTGAAGATGGCACGATCCCAAGGAGAAAGTGCGAAATTTTATCAAGTATCTTTTTTATTGTTATTCGTTGAACAACAATCATAAAAAGAATAATTCTATTGTCCAGGTAGGCCAAATTGTTGTTACACCAGTTCCACTCCAAGCTCAAAAGATAAATGATCATCCCAAGGGCACTGGTAAGACCAATAACTTCAACTTCAGTAATAACGCAAATACGGGATACATGAGGCTCTTTCTAGAAGTTAACCTTCCACCACTGTAGGACCCTCTCTTTGCGATATTAACTAAGATCTCAGTAATAATGCAACATGGGATATAGGAAGCCCTTTCTAGAAGTTAACCTTCCACCATTGCAACACCCTCTCTCTACAATGTTAACTAAGATCTTGTAAGCGGGATTAATTGTTCTTCCAAACCCTGTTCAACCAAAGTATGAGCTTAAAGATAAATCCAGATGGTGTTGATACCATAGAAATCACACCCACAACACTCAAAATTGTTAGAGCTTAAAGCACATCATCTGGGAACTCCTAGATAAGGGTGCTATCAACTACACTCATACCGATGCACAGGTGGAGGCCTCCATTCAGAAGATGGGAATATTTGTCAATCCACTTCTGAATAATAGTAAGAAAGTTGAAATTGAATCCCCCAAAGAGACCAGATCAGTTGTCATTACAATAAAGCATTGGGAAATTCTATCAAAATAGACCTAACATTTGAACTATTTTGATAAATTTCAAAGCCACTTTGATGAGTCATTTAACGGGCCATTTGAACTTTGATTGAAAGAATGCTAGGCAATTTGGAATTAGATCCAAAGTATAGACAAGATGTTAAATAGTTCAAATCATGGGTGTAGCTTTTCCATACAAATATTTTGGGGCCTACCCGGCCTAGCTAGAGCCCATGGGCATAACATGGGGTTCAACACTAGTGCGGCCCAAATGTCAGCAACACGGCCAAGGCCCGTTAACTATTCTAAAAGATAAAATTTTGAAATTACATTATTTTTGGAAAAAAAAATTATATAAGGGTGAAGCTCTAAACAATCAAATTAAGGTGCACCTCCAAAATTCACTAGAAGAGGTTGTTTTGATGCCCAAAAATCCTTAAATCGATCATCTCATCCTCACGATGCATGGACATGAGAAAAATGGATTTCAAATATTGGAAATAGGGCATCTGAGAATGAATTTTCTGAGATTTTCAAATGTTCATGGATCTGCTCGATCTATGCATGGACATGAGAAAAAATAGATTTTAAATATTGGAAATAGGTATCTTAGAATGAATTTTCTAGATCATCAATTTTCAAGATTTTCAAGTGTTCATAGATATGCTCGATCTATACTATTTTTCAAGCTTTAAATTTTATAATTATAAATAAAAATAAATTTTCAAGTCATCGCGAAGATTTCCAATACTAAAATAACATCTTTTCATACTATTTGAAGATGCGCCTTACTAAAAAGGCATGCACTATCGATCCCGTGCAACTTTCCTAAAGGCGAATTGATCCTTTAATTTTCCAAGCCTGTATCAAAGCATATGAACATCATACTAGCTTTTGTAAAGTGATAAGGAAGCATATGATGAAGGTGATTGCAAATTGATTTTAGGACACGGTTAGCATGCTGCCAGTCTGCAATAAATATATTTTTAAACTATAATTTGATCTTAATTTTTAGAGAAAATTCAATCTTTAAAATGGAGATCATGAATATGAAAAATAAAATAAAATTGAAAACTAAACATAATAATTATATCAATAAAGCATTTGGGCCGTTAATTACAATTGTTTTTAGATGGACCACCTAATTGCATCCATCTTTAAGATGGATGTTTTATCCCTCGGGACCGTATATTGTAGAAATGCGGTCCGGCCCGCATGAAACAATTGTTCTTGGTTTTATGATGTTACCAGCTCTTTCACTGTAGCCAATAGCGAATATTACATGCCAATGAACCCAACTGTAGAAAATGGAGGGCCTAGAGTCAAAATCACCACCATCTATAAAGCCAGTGAGCCCTACTTAGATAGGAGGTGTCGGAAATGGAGTGCCTAGAGTCAAAATTCCCACCATCTATAAAACCAATGAGTCGTACTTAGGAAGTGACTGAGGAGGGGCAATTTGTAGATGAGTACAAGATGTGGATTAGGAAAAGGGTTGGGTCGTCGTGGTAGCATCCTCATACCTAGTTACGATGTTGTGGTTCTCAATCCTATTGACACCAAACACATAGACACCTTCAAAAAAACTAACTCGTTAATTAATATGAAAAACGAGTAGGGGCATGTCTTCTCCACTGAACTATACAAAAAAAAATAAAAAAAGAGATGTGTAATTTAACCTACGATCATATCTGATGGCTAAAACGATATGTAAGTAACTTTCCTTAATTTATTGGTGTATTACCCGTTAAAGATGGTGCTCCTTAATCGTTTAGATGTTACAGTGGTTGTGAATGATGAGGAACTATTGCACAAATTATTGGATGATCGAGTGAATATACGTGTTCAAAATACAATTTTGACACTTAATGAAAGAATAAGACCCCCTCACTTGCATGTCATTAAATGAAATTACATTCATTACGTAGAATTGAACATTACACAATAGAAGCAACAAAAACATAAAATGTGAAATATATTGTACCTTGCCTCAAATTATCCTTGAAGACTTTGGACACCCCAAATTAGATCTCCTCCACCGATGGCACACATAATCTTAGTTTAAAAACACATCTCACAATTAAGAAAACCTAAGCAAAACCTTTAGAGAGCATCCCATGGGATTTCCTTGACCAAGGCTTAACTCATGAGCATGAAGCAAGAACCTAGGGCTAGAGCTTGTGTGGCTTGGGCGTGCCACCCCTTAGGGTTAACTCTTCCCTAAACTCTAATTTGGATGAAAGAAAAAGAGAGAGAAAGATGGAGAGAAATAAGAAATAAAATCCCTATAGCTAGTATTTATATACAAGAGGTTACGGTTGCTAGGGTTAGAGTTTTGTCATCATCATGAGGTTTAATCTTGACATTTGATTTTGGAGACCTATGGGGTGATGAGATTTCAAACATTCATTCTTTAAATCAGCCATCGTAATTAGATGAATGCAGTCGAACCTTATCTATCAGTTTCCATAACTCCGTTCCCATTAAATATTTTGTGTAGAGAAAACAATCAATTTATCAAAATTAATTTATACACATTCCTATTTTGAAATCAATCACAATTAATTTCTTACACCATCCTATTGTAAAATCAATCACAATTAAGTTCTTACACATTTCTATTTTGAAATCGATCAAAATCTTTACACAAAAAAGTTTCTTAAAATATCATAATTGTCATCTTTCAACTTTAGGAAAGTATGGAGGAGGTGGGGGCCATGTGAGCCTCACATCCCACAATATAGTGGGCCCAATAAACTCAATGGGCCCCCAATACCTTAAACATAATTTCCCTATAATAAAATAATTTTTATAAAACCTCAAAATATTTTATTTATTTTTTATGAAAATAAATCCAAGAAATTAAGTTTTCTCTATTTAAAATCATATTTCAATAAAATAAAATACTTAGAGAGGTTTAAAATTTTATTTTAATATATTAAAACATATCTAAAAAAGTTTGATGGAAATTGGATCTATAGAATTAGGATTATGACAAATACGTTGAAGACTTCATCCTCTATAGAGACTGCATCTCACTGCAGTTTCTCAAACTGACCCAACCAATCCTATGACCCACAACCTATTATAAGGGTTCATAATTAGACCATCAAAGTCAGCCAATAAGTAGAGAAGATACGATCATATACCATGGATTACAGGTCCTTCCCTGAAGACAAGTTTATGACTCATTTCAACATTATGCTTCATGGGTCCTTCCAACACAATCCAGTATTGCTGGGAGCCATCTCTTCTACACATATACACGTCATACACCCTTATCCAAATAGTTGCTTTTCATACAACTATCTAGTGTAAATGCTTGATGGTAATAATGAGAAGTTAAACTTTGTCCTCTCAGGTTGTCCATCACACATAGGGTCAAATCCATGTCCCTTGGTCAACTGTCCTGGACATATCTCTGACCTCATCTAGGGACAACCCCACATCGCAACCCTTATCAGTTGTGCTTACATAATGCCCAAAACTACGGGTTTTGAACTTCACATTAAGTTATAGCCAGTCAAAATCCATGCGAGTCTAAAGCATTGTTAATGCCCTACAGTCCAAGTTAAATATACTCAATAATGTATTATATATTTTTGGATCATGCTCTCATAAAGCTTTTAAATGGCTACAAACCTCACAACTTCTAGATAAGAAGAGTACAAGTTGAAGCAAAGGGGAGATGTAGAAGGAGATGATGATGGCGATGATAAGACCACTAAAGGGGGATGTAGGTGGATACGATGATGATGACAATGATAAAGCCACTAATACTAACGTTTATGGTGTGAAACCACAACGTCAGCTGGTCAGCGGACATCATTTTCAAACCACTACATACATACTCAGGGTGACAATAAATGGGGTGGCGGTGCTTGGGATAACTTTGAGCCCCTCCGTTACTGATATTGGTATGTTTAAGTTGACTGGCAAATCTGTAATCTTTAAACTAGAATATGAACGATCCTATGAAACTCATTGTACTCCATTCTGGACCATTGAATGCATGTTCCGCAACAAAAAAACTCTAAAGGTGCGTTTCACACCAAAGAATTTGGAGTTAGAGGGAGTCTCGCAAAAAAATAGAGAAGACTGCCCTTCCATCATTTTTTATGGAAGGGTGGTATTCCAAAAAGAGATATTTTTTGACATAAAAAAAGTACTGCATGGAAGGCCGCACTTCCATGCGGTGGTTTCGACATTGTGAAATCGAACATGGAAGTGGGATGTTCAACTCCCACTTCTAAAAACTTCGGGAAATCAAAATAAGTTCAATGTATAGATAAAATTTCCAAAAAATTTATCAATACATGTCACATTTTTATAAGTTGTCGTGAAATCGTAAATCTATTTCGTTCTTGCTAGTAGTTGTCAATTTTTTTAAATTTTAATGCTATTTTTACGGGACCTGCAAAGCTGCTGGACTTGGCCCATGGCTCGCCTAGCACCGTTGATACAAGAATGGCTCGTATGAGATGCCCTGTCCCCATCCCGCTGCTTTTGCACCCAATTCCATTTAAGGAGGCACCCAACGTTTCCACGTGAGCAGTATGTTATGCTCCTATAGGAACAGACTGTATGTATACTCCTTCACTCAAAAACTTATTTAGAAAGATATTTTTAATTTAAAACCACCTAAGCATTACAAGACGATTATTTCAAAAGAAAAAAAATTTCAATTTTGAGTTTTGTGGCACTTAGATCTAATCCATTAAAAATTGGACAGCCTCTTTTCAATCTTAAGACAATAGTTCTTTTTTAATATATAAAAAGTTTATTTTGGAGATTCTTTTTAATAATATTAGATATTACATTTCCAAAATTTGAGATTCAAAGTATATCCTAGCATTTGTTTTGTCCAAAGAAGTAAATAAATAGCATACTCCCTGGGGATAGGAAATCTTTTAGATTTCCACATGATTTCAACTTCGAAAAAACGAACCTTTTGAAGAGCGAAGGGAGAGAGAGACACGCGCTTGCCGCCGCTTTTGAAGAGCGAGGGGGCATGGCACTCACCAAATTGCACAGGAATAAAAAAAAGCAATGGAAAAAGATTCTGTGCTCCCATTTCCCTTATTCACTCCCTCGGATAAACCCCAACTGTTATGTATTTTCATTTTTAGTAATGTTATCATTTTTTATTTGCTTCATCCAAAGATGCCGAAGTCTTTAGATTTTCAGCCTCAATAGAAGCGAAGGGAAGCTCCGGTGCATCTACTTAGGCCTGCTTCCGTCTAATTTGTCTCAGCTGAAACACATGATTGTCTTTTCTTTTCTTTTTTTGGATTTTTTTAAATTTTTTTATTATTTCAATATACTTTAATGCATAAATATATGCTTTATTTATATAAAATTCTTAAGTCTTCTTTGGCCGAAGTATAGAATTGTTTCATTTATTTCAACCAAATCGAACAAGGCTACAACGTGAATCTGAAAACACTTTTTTTTGGGCCGTCAAGTTCTTACTTGATCTGCCTCTGAAAAAATTCAAATGCACGTGAAAAATATTCTGAGATTAAGTTGTGATGGTTATATATGAGTATTTCAAACTTGGTTTTTCCCTTAAAATAGTTATTCGTAGTTCCCAGGTGGACTCAAGATTATAAATCGAATTTTTTCTTAAAATGGTTATGCGTAGTTCCCAGGTGGACTCAAGATTATAAATCAAAGTTTTTCTTAAAATAGTTACGCGTATGTTCCCAGGTGGACTCAGGATTATAAATCTAAAAAATTGTCCTAATCCTGGACAATTTTGCCAGGCAATTTTGACCGAGAGAGTAAGGACACAAAATGTTCTTGCAGGACCATAGACTCCACCAAGGGAACCAATATAATAAAAAGGAAAACGTTTATATAGAGCAGCCTACCTCAAAACTTCCACTGGAAGAGGTTGTTTTGGTGCTCAAATATCTTCGAATTGATCATCTCGACATCAAAATACATGAACATAAGAAAAAAATGGATTTAAAAATTAAAAATAGTGTATTTTGTAACATATTTTAGACGGCCAATTTTTAAGTTTTTCATGCCGATCTACACTATTTTTTCAGCATTAAATTTTATAAATAAAGATAAAAATATATTTTAATGCTATCACAAAAGCGTCCAAAACTACATTTCTTGGCTCTAATTTGATTGTTTAGAGCCTAGGCTCTATACAAACCACATCATAATAAAAATGCTCCCGCACAAACAGGGACAGCCGCTTGAGAGATAGTGTTTTCCTTAATTCATGAGGTCTTTGAGAGTGAAGGTTCAGGCTTTGGGGTTGGAAATTTCAAAATTGGAATGGTATCCCACGCGTTTTTTCAGCTCCCTCAAACCCATAAAAGGTTGGTTTCTTTTCTGTTCTCCATTTGATTATTCAAATTCAACGCTTATTCTTCTTCCAGAAATCTTACACATACTCCACGGGTGTGGACTGATTTGGATTCCCATTTACAAAAAGCGAATATAGAAAGGGTGATGGAGAAAAGCTCTAGTCAATTTGAAGGGATGGTGAATTGGAATACTTCTTCTCAGCGGTGGGTGCCCTCGAATCTTTCAGCTTTTCGACCTCAATTTATAGGCCTCGCGCTCCAAGTCAATCATTTCAGGGATCCAAATCTTTCATTTCCCCTTCTCCTGTGTTGAGATCTCTAAGGCACGCCCACTGTTTCTCTGATTTTTCTTCCTCTCTTTTTCTTTTTCAGTTCTTCATCTGTTTCATTTGTGGAGCATTCTTTTTCAATTCTTAATCTGTTTCATTTTACTGCTAATACATGTTTGACAGAGCATTCTGGATGAACATTTGAGTATTAATCCCCAGATCAATTTGGGCGGCAGCGACTAATATTGCCTGTTGAAATGATGCTTGTTCCCTGCTGTCCTATTTGAAGTTTTGATCATCCTGTAGAAGATATTGATCCGTTATCCTTCATGTGCAGTCATAATCTTACATTAATGCATATCAGACTTGGATGATATAATTTGGATTCATGTTTTCGTAATTCGGACTTATATCAAATTACTGGAATGGAAAGTCTTACATAATATGTCGATCATGGATTCAGGAATATTTTTTTTCCTATCACCATTGTGAAGTCTGAACTTGAAGGAGAATCGTTTGTCTGAACCACCCTAGGATATGGGTTATTTGAATCCTGTAAGACTTGGCCTTATCCTCCATGCTTCTAATCTGCTTTCAATCTTTTCTTGTATGGATTTGAAGGGGCATTAAGGTTTTCTCTGTATGCTTTGGCTCAAAAATTTAGGTCTTGATTATTGACTTGCTTCCTTCCTTTCTTATTTGAATGCAGATGCCTGATCAAGAAAATCACATGGGAAAATCAGAAAGTAAGCTTCTTCTATGATTATGTTATATCTACTACCTCAAGCATATAATTGATCGATAAACAATTTAAAACTTCCATTTTCTTTTGGTTCCTGGATTAAAATCTAAATGCTCAAAATTTTCTATTGAAAAATATAAAAATTTGAGTATAAGATGATATACAGTGGCAACTAAACTTTTGGCTTGGCTGCCATGCTAGAGGGTAATTATAGTTTGTTAACATGTTAATTTGATACTCACACATACATCCGCATCTTGATTTTTATGGTCTTCATTTTATTTTTTGGAGATGTAAAACAAATTTGATGTATGATTTTAGACATTTGAATGTTTTATCCTGAATTAATGTTCTGATATGGATTAATAATCTCAACTGGCTTTTTTAGGCGAGAGAGTGATACGTGAAGGAAGAGAAGTTCTTTTACAGGTAATATTATAAGTTATGCATCCATCATAGTGATCATGACTGTTGAGGACTGAAGCGTTTAAGTTCTAGTACAAAGTTTATTTATGTATATTCTATCACCAAGTTTATAGTGTAAGATTTATTCTGTATTATTGGCTTTGGCCATGATTGGGAACTTTGTTTAATGTTTACACATATAAGTGTCTTTGTTTAATGTTTACACATATAAGTATCTTCATGTTGTGTTTTTTATTTGGTTTTGTTTCTTTTCTTTCTGAACTTTTTTGTTCTTCTATCCGCATTGATAGATTACTGACCTTCTGGACGGTGAGTTTGTATATGTATCTTATTTGTTGAAATTAATATGTCTTTTTCTGCTATAGTTTTGTCCTTTTTTCCTACAGTTTGCTGCTTCCAGTTTTCTGTTAAATTTTATTTAAAAACAATTTAATATATGTGGACAAGGAAATGCAAACCTTTGTCATGTAGAGAAAAGTTTGCTTGAGATTCATTTTTCATGGTTTATTGTCCAGATTTGGTGCAGTTTAGGGCCACTTTAAGATATTCATCTCTGAACTTTCTAGAGAGTTTGGAATACCTTTTGATTTTAATTTTATTTGCACTTTTTCATTTCTTCCAAGGACAATACATTATATTCATCTTTGAACTTTCCTAGACAGCTTGGAATAATACCTTTTGATCTTAAGTTTTTTCGCCCTTTCTCATTTCTTTACAGAACTTTCCTAGACAGCTTGGAATACCTTTTGATCTTAAGTTTTTTCGCCCTGTCTCATTTCTTTCCAAAAAGACAATGTACCTTGTATGGAAAACACTACACAATGCCTATAGGCGAAAATGAACAGTGATTTCGTCCATCCCATCACCGTTCAAAGTTCATCGCACGGTCAGGATTGTCCGGTAGTGTTTCATTTTTCATTTTTTTTTTACAAATCGGAATGACCTGAAATTTGGAGTGTGTATTTATAAAAAATAAGGGAATCTTCGAAAAATATAAAAAAAATATTTTACTAGAAAAACTTGATCAAAATACTCCCAAAAAGTTTCGGGGGTATTTTGGTCAATAATGTTTTTACGGATAATTTTTTTATATTTTTATTAGATGCGCCTCAATAAGATGTACATACCCTCCAAATTTCAAGTCATTCTGATCTGTAGAAAAATAATGAAAAATAAAACACTACCGGACAATCGTGACCGTACGATGAAATTTAGACGGTGATGAAGGTAGGCGAAATCTCCATTCATTTTCGCATATAGGCATGGGAAGACTTTTCTACCTTGTATTATTTGAAGTATTTCTTATGGAACCCAAAACCTTGAATAAATAATTTTTAATTTATTTTTATAAATAAATAATTCACACAACATTATAAAAGTGCAGTTCTCTTTTAACCCTTTCCTGCTTTTGGACAAAAAACAGTTCGTGAAGTTGAAATTAGGTTTGGTTTACCTTCTTTCTCTCCTTTTATATTTCCCATATCCAAACTATTTTAATCCCTAAATGTTGATTTGTTGATTATTGTTGTACCTGTCAGTAATTTTTGTGTTGCATTTGAAAGGCATGATGAATGTGGTTTGTTTGTATGGTAAAAAATAGATAAGTATGCTTGTATATGTGTCGAGCATATTTTAGTGCATGATATGGTATGGTTTCAGTGTGCTGTTGGCTAGAGTTGACCATTATATAAAGGCTGTTCATATGAGTCCGAGTTTCCAAATTGATGATTGTTTGTGATTAAGCTTGCATTCGAAAAGTTTGCCTTTTTCTTTTATTGATCATTGAGAATTCTGGCTTACAGGGTTTTAATTGGGAATCCCACAAATATGACTGGTGGCAAAATTTGGAAAATAAAGTTCCTGATATTGGGAACTCTGGGTTTACATCAGTGTGGTTGCCTCCTGCAACCCATTCATTCTCACGAGAAGGTCAGCGTTGTATCATGTTTGTCATCTTTTTACCTTTAATGTTACCTTCCGTGATCATATATTTAGCTCATCTCTCCTTTCAGGTTACCTTCCTCAAAACCTTTACTCTCTTGACTCAACATATGGTTCAGAGCATCAACTGAAAGCATTACTCTATAAAATGCAGCAACACAAGGTTAGAGCAATGGCTGACATTGTTATAAATCATCGTATTGGGACGACTAAGGGACATGGGGGCATGTATAATCGTTATGATGGCATTCCTTTGCCATGGGATGAAAGATCTGTCACATCTTGTTCTGGTGGTCTGGTAAGTTATTTTGTACTGTTAAGTATATTATTTGTTCTTAAAGAACCTTTCATGTCGGATTCATCAATAACGTGACAGTTTACCTCTGGTTGAGAAATGTATATTTTTGTCATGTGTTTGAAATTATTGGACTTCTATGTATCCAGCAAATTTCTGCTGCAGTCACAGTTTTGATGAAAGATTTGGGGCACTTGCAGTGCTCTGATTTAGAGGTTCTGTACTATCCTAGAGACATGTACTTTCTCGGTTCAAGCATAAACATTATTTGGTAATTCAAGAATGTCTCAAAACCTACTACACAGTAACTGATACCCTACTTGAGCTTAATGTGAAATGTCATGGACGGTTCATGAGTACATAATACTGGCTGTACTTATGGTCATTAAAATAGATGTCACACATGAAATACTTGTAATCTTCCAATTTATGGTTAACTCATTATGTTCCTAATGTGTGGCAACTCATCAGATTGTATAAAATGTTCCAGTTTCCATACAGTGATCTATGCTCATCCATATCATCACAAAATCCTTGTGTATGCTCATACAAATAGACCAAGTCATATGATCCATGGTCTATGCATGTTATCCCTGTTCTAGGCCCTTCGCCAGTATTGTCCAATTGAAAATAATAGATACCAAATATATATGTCGTGCACAGTGGCATTACATTATTACAAACTGCTGTTTCAACATACATATAAAGATTGACAGTCATATGTAGAATCATATTGTTAGGTTTTAATGCCACTTGAACTGATTTTCATCTTCAATCAAAGGCTTGCAGGGCCTTTGATTTTTCTTAGAGAGTATTATCATCATCATAATCTGAGCCTTATCCCAAATATTTGTGGTCAGCTACACAAACCTGTTCTGCCATTCAGCTTTATCAAGGGCCGTACGCTCAGTCAGACATTGTCTTACAGAGTAATATGATTGATACATCTGCGTGTTTGGAAGACTTGTTTCTTGCTCTAATAATTTGGGAATATGGAATTAGAAAAGTTCAGAAAATTTTTACTTACAATGCATCTGTATAATGAGATCTGTGTCTTGTATTCTTTTCTAGTTTCTACCGAGCTTGCAATTTTTCATGATAAATTTTAGGGGAATCGCAGCACAGGCGACAACTTCAATGGAGTTCCAAATGTAGATCATACCCAACCGTTTGTCCAAAAGGACATTATTGAATGGTTGAGGTGGCTTCGCAAAAGGGTTGGCTTTCAGGATTTCCGTTTTGATTTTGCTAAAGGGTATGAATGTATTGCTGTTAATTGTTGCTAATTGTCATATCTCGTGGAGTTGCTTCATTTCCTAACTATATTGCACAACTATCAGCTATGCAGCAAAGTATGTGAAAGAATATGTTGAGAAGGCACAGCCTCTTTTCTCTGTTGGAGAATATTGGGATTCCTGCAATTACTGCCCTCAGTTGGATTACAATCAAGGTATAGTTGCTATTTAGTGGTGTGGTCCCCTCTCAGTTTACCTCTTGATAGGTTAATGTTGTGAATCACCTTTTAAACTATCCTCTCCCTTTGCCACTTTCCCTTTTTCGCTATTTGTCTATTTTGCTGTACTTGAATGTTGTGTTTCATTTTTATTTTATCAAATACCCATAAAATAACTGGTGGTTACCTTGATATTTTCTGCATCTTTCTATAGCTTACTTATTTATTGCTGGCCTGAGAGGGATCCAGAACATCTATTGGGTCCAGTTGGATAGGAATACTACTCCACGAGACACTTACCCTATTTGTTTGTCCTGGTTTTAATGTGTGTTCTGTTGGACTGTGGGAAGTAGAAACAGTCTGATATTGCCTTTACTTGGTACAGACAGCCACAGACAGCGAATCATCAATTGGATAGACAACACAGGGGGATGTTGTGCAGCATTTGATTTCACGACAAAGGGTATCCTTCAGGTATTACTGTTTCAGATAATGGGGAGAGTACACTAAAGGTCAAGGACTTTGGTGTGTGGTACTCCAAGTTAGATCGCCCTAACTTTTCCATCAAAGGGTTGGACATCAATTCTACTTGGTTGGAAGTCCCTTTGGACCCCACTGTAATTAATCTCCAACCATCGATCATTTATTTTGAAAGGATGGTAGATGTAGACTTGGAGTTCCATATTCCACAGTCATTTGGACTACACTTCTCTTTCATGAAGAAGCAGCCACAAAGGAGCTTGCTTATTAATGAGATATGCTGCACTATCATCTTTGTCATGAAAAGGAAGCAGTGAAGGGAGAACTTTGGCGGCTACGTGATGCCCAAGGGAAGCCACCTGGAGTAGTTGGATGGTGGCCATCAAGGGCTGTCACATTTATAGAAAACCATGATACAGGATCGACTCAGGTAAATTATGGGGGGCTTCCATTTCTTTTTTCTTAACTGTGATGCCAAAGTTGGACACATAATCCTATCATATAACTCTTGGCCATTTCAATGTTTCAGGGACACTGGCCTTTCCCTTCTCATCACATTATGGAGGTAAGTTATACTTCCTTTGATTAGCACATGGTCTTCATATATATGGAAGTTATGTTGTTTAATAACTGCATTAACAGAGAGCATTTCTTCTCTGTTAAGTTTATGAAAAATTATATTATAACCCAAAGGATGATGGATGAAGATATTCCATCATTTGATGAAATGATGGACGGTCAAGAGAGATGGACCCAGCATTGGGGTGTTTCGTTAAGTCCCACTCTCTATCCCTGTCCATCATTTAATTGAAAGTAATGACCCCAACGGACCAATGATTTTCTATAGCCCATTGGTTGTATTATTCTTTCTTGAATTCATGCTCCCCATACTGGATATTTCCCCTTTTTGTCCCATCTCTGAGGGTTTGTCTAACAAATAATCCAACATACAGGGGTACGCCTATATATTGACTCATCCTGGAATACCGACAGTATTTTATGACCATTTCTATGACTGGGGTGACTCCATCCACCACGAAATTGTAAAACTGGTAAGCCAAAAGTGCCGAAAATTCACTTAGCATTTTCAACATGGGATATCTTAATTCTTGAATGTTTTGAGCTTGGGCTATAGCTCTGCCTTCAAGCATTTTGAGGTTATCTTCATAGTGCAGCTACCTAGGATGTGGATCTTGGACTTACGTCTTAAGTCTCAAGTATCTTGAGCTTTGGGTCATGCTGACTACTCTAGTATTTTGAGCTTGGGATCATTTCTTAGCTTTGGCCTGTTTCTTGCAGATGGATATAAGGAAACAACAAGGCATTTATAGTCGCTCGCCTATACGAATTTTGGAAGCCCATCATAACCTTTATTGTGCAATGATAGGAGACGAGGTTTGCATGAAAATTGGGGATGGATTGTGGTGCCCAAGTGGAAGGGAGTGGAAACTAGCAACCTCTGGCCATAGATATGCTGTATGGCATAAGTAGAGTACTAAAGAGTCCTAGATATGAACTTAGGTATCCTATGGGGAAGAAAATAAATGGCACAAAAATAAAGTAAAATAAAATAAAATGCCGTTTGGGCTAAGTAGACTTGCCTATTTTGAGGTTGCCATTCTATTCTAAATGTTTAATGCAATATTTCTAATAACAGAAATGTGCCCCATTAGTTTTGTTACCAGTAGCTGAAGCATGGTTTTTTTGTTAGTTTCTGGATGTTGCTTATATCCAAGTGGGTTATATTTGTGTTGGAAAATTGATACTGTTATTAAGGATCAAACTGAGGATAAGCCCCGCTGCCCCTTGTGGAGTTCCTGAGGTGGGTGCCACTATTGATTTTTAGTGGTTTGAAAGGGATGAGATACTAATAACCATTACAGGTTTAAAATCAGGAGATTGGCTGATTGATGCGAGGAACTTATCGTATTGGCAAAAAGGATAAAAAACTAATTATTTGATGAATATCTGGAAAGTAAGGCGATGTTTTATCCATGAAGAAAACCATGAATGTGACTGAAATTTGCAGAAGAAATTATTTTAAGTTCAAAAGGCTCTTTGAACATCCTGGTTTGCTCTACCTGTAGAGCAGGGGGATAGTAACAAACTACTTGGTGGCCCAAGCCAAGTATTATAGTATATGCTCTATGTATGACTTTGTTACATAATGCTCATCACCACTCTTTGTCTCGATGTCGGACGGTGGAGATGAAGCATTCCCCTGATCAAAGTGTGCCATTGTCTGTTAAGTTCGAGGCACGGTTCGTCTGTGAGGAAAGACCATGGGGATGATCAGTAACTCCTTATAAACCATGAATAGTACAATTAATGCATGCAAAGCCTGTTCCTTTTCTAATGCATTTCTCTCTCTCTTGGCGCGCATGCCTGTAAATGGCGTGGGAGTAATTAACCATGATACTCTCTGAGAGTAATTAACCATGGTTTGTGAGCTCTGTTGATTTCAAAAAACACAAGTGTTTACGACAATGAACTTCACAACACAACGAGCGTCACCATACCCAAAAAAAGAAGTTTGTTAACACAATCAGTTCTTGGTTGAAATTGTTGGAAATCGGTTGAATTTGTTGGAAATTGGTTGGGGTGAAAATGAGGTAGAAAATATAGATGAAATAGGCAAATATCCTTCATGTTTTCGGACATGCATAGCACTTTCTCAATATCCTATTTTGCCCCTTTTGATATTGTAATAGGTGTGCATAAGGACAATTCTCAAGCTCGTGGAGCACTTTTTCAAATTGATGTTTGCCCCTTTTTGATATTGTAATAGGTGTGCATAAGGATAATTTGTCCTCAAGATACAGGAAAATAGATGGGTTTTTTTTTATGTTTCAAAGCTTTATGTACCTGAATTTGAAGCTCATTGTAGAACATCGAAGTTATGTATTCTTAGAGAGAAAGAGATAGAGAGAGATGGATGAGTGCTCTATTAAGTTCTTTGGAAATTCGCAGAGAGATATTGTATTCTATATGTAATTCATATGAAAAAATGTTCCCCTTTATAGAGTTCCAAGAAGCTGCCCATCTACTGTTTGGTGGTTTCATGCACTAACAATCACATTTAGTTTTGGTGGCTGTGATATTTACAAGCCTCCATCTCTTCAACGGCTAGTGATTGGGTTATAAGCCTCCATCTCTTCAACAGTTAGTGATTGGGTTATAAGCTTCCATCTCTTCAACGGCATGACTGGGATACAAGCCTCCATCTCTTCTCATATGTGCCAAGCTAGCAAAAAGATATCGAACCTCGTCAACCAATAGTGACCGTTGGATGTCTCACACCAACCACACTCGTGAAAAGATATCGGAGCCTCGAGCCTAATCCATATCATGAGCTAGTGCGAGCGGGCAAAGTGCACCATCGAACCCTCTCACATATGCTGCACACATGCACCATCATTCTCATCATTGTTGTAAGACTATTATGCATGGGAATGTTTACACTCAAATATTACGCAATCCACACTCTCTTCTTAAATGTGAGAGTAAAAACCCACATATTTCTCTCTACAAAATAAAGATTAGAAAATCATACAAAACACTATGGTACTTTGAAATACACATAAGTATCTTTCAAAACCCAAAAATACTGACAATTGAATTTTTTAATGACAAAATTTACACGTTTATGGCAGATTGTGTTTGAAGGATTTCCTTGGGGACTAGAGAAATTCTTGGGTAAAACTTTGGGTTTTCCAGGAAATTATTGGAAGATCTGTGGGGAAAAGAAACCAAATTCTTTCAGAAAGAAGGAAAACTAAATAATGCATACACTCAAAATAAAATAGAAAAAGTTACTTTTCCTGTATTATTAACCTATAGTTTTTACTTTTTTAGATTTTGGATGGTAGTTAAGTAAAGCCATTTCCCTTCTTTGCCTTCCTTTCATGATGGAGGCCATGGTGGATTCAAAGTGGGTTTGAACCTTAATTTAGAACTTGACTTGTATAGTGTAGGGTCTATTCATTGGAAACGCTTGGTTCATGGTAAGGATGGTTGGGGCCGAACGATACAATGGAGAAACGAAAATATAAGTTAACTCAATCTCTAAAGGAGGTTTCTATGCGGCCAGCCCGCATATTGTAGAAATGCGGGCTTCGTAATAAATATATGTTTTAAATATAATTTAATTTTAATTTTTAAGGCATATATAATCCTTAACATGGAGATCATGAATATGAAAAAAAAAAAAAAAACTGAAAACTAAAAGTAATAATTATATTAAAAAAACATTTGAACTGTTAGTTACACTTGTTTTTTAGATGGACTACCTATTTGCATCCATCTTTAAGATGGATGCTTTATAACTCTGGACCACATATTGGAGAAATGGGGTTCAGCCCGTATGAAATAATTACTAAATATGTGCATATAAGACTTAGATCATGAGAAATCAAAACTATAAGCTTTGTTAAAAAAAAAGAGTCAAACTTATAAGGTTGTAGTGCCCGGTTTACGGCCAAGGACTTAATTACACTCTATAAGATATATGGTTACTACCAATAGCACAATATCTTTAATCTACATTGATCTCAAACTTTGGATGGTCACATAAGAGAACATGCCTTCATCCACAAAAGTTAGCCAGGCTTAGTAGTTCAACAACGGTTTCCTTTAGGTACCTGCCCATAGTAATAATTTTAGGTTTTGATATAGGGAATCAATGCGTATTCCCCATTACACGTAGGAATAAAATATGAACATTCTGCATGTTCCTTTGTACCCTAAAGCCCTATTTGTCTAACAATTAAGGGATTGCATACTATGAGACCATCTATCTTACAACCATTTGATTTGAAATTTAATGAACAACAATGGTTGACTTCTTTATACTAAAAGTAAATGGTGACTTTGTATACTTTTCCAACAATTAATTGTATCTTGAATATATTACCTTAGGATGCGGTTTGTATATAGTTAGGCTCTAAACAATCAAATTAGAGCCTACCTTCAAATAGTATCGAGAAATGCAGTTTCAATGCTGAAAATCTTTAGCCTTAAAATATATTTTCATCTTTATTTATAAAGTTTAAAGCTTCAAATATAGTGTAGATTGACAGATCTAAAAATCTTGAAAATTGACGGTCAAAAAATGCATTACAAAATATACTATTTTCGAAACTTGAAATCCATTTTTTTCTCATGTCATGCATCTTGATGACGAGATGATCAATTTGAGGACATTTGGGCATCAAAAAAACATCTTCTAATGAAAATTTTGAGGTAGGCTCTAATTTGATTGTTTAGAGCCTCGGCTCTATATAAACTTTTCCCATCATCTTTTTTACAATTAATATACTTTGAATAATATTATTTTAGAATTACATACAATGAGGCCATTTACCTTTGGCATACGGACGTCACAATTACTTATATCTATCCGATGTAAAATCTGATAGCTTGGATGTATTACAAAGTTCGAAAAAATTCATTTTGAACTTTGAGCATGAAAAATTGAATAAATACAGTCACCCAATTTTACATCCAATGGTCAAGATTAATTGTGACCACTATTTGCCGAAGTTAAGTGATTTTCATTTTATACATTTCTTATTGTTTTATTAGTTATTTAATACATCCTTGTGTTATGTATAATATATTCAATTATTTAACCATTTTACCAGTTTTCAGCTATTCTAAGTTATATATGACTAAAAACATTTGAATTTCAGCAAATAACTTTAAATAAAATAGCAGAAAAATTATCAAAAAAGATAAAATTTCAAGTAAAACTACCTATAAGTTAACTTAGATAATTTTATAATGGAGACTGCCAAACAAAATATATATTTTTTTTAAAGAATACAAAACATATAATTCATCAAGGTTAATTTTATTGAAACAGTGAAGTATCAATGATAATAAATACATCCAATCATGCCTTAAAATGTCGCAAGTTCCTAATAACAGTGAAGATTAGGTATGCAGTAGTCCTACATTAGTTTAAAACGTACAAAGTGTCTAATGGAAATGATCTGCCACAGTTGAGCGAGTTAATGGTGACTAAAGCAAAAAAATGATTAGTTCCATTTTACCATAGCTCTTTTTTGTTTAAACCCTAGATACGTTAGATGTTCGGACCTGGTGTTTCGTCCTCCTGCTGCTGCTGGGAGATACGATGCTTTGATATCTTACGTGTGGGCACCTCATCATTCAAATACCGTCATTGAGTTTTTCGGGCATTTGAATGATTGTTTAAAAAAATGGATTGTGAATCACTGACATTGAGTTTTTCGGGCATTTGAATCATTGTTTAAAAAAATGGATTGTGAATCACTGATATAGATCGGGAAACACTGTTCCTTGTCAAAACTTCCCGTAACACCGTCTAGTTCTGTCAGGGAATTGGATGAGTTTGTTTAGGAACCGAGCGATAAAAAACAGCTAGATTGCTGGCTCCTACACAATATACTTTTTATTATTTTTAAATTTTTGTTTTTTTTTCATTTTGTATATTTTGGACAGATTCTCACACCGAAGAGTCAATCCAATTTAGCAATCTAGACCGGCAAGCTGCCATTCCGGAACAGGTTTCTAGATGGCCAGTTCACCTGACCAGTCTACTGTTTTAAGACATTGGACACAACTATTGACGGTTCGAGTGATTCATTTTGCAGTTCGCATAATTAAGCCGCAATTGTGAGTCTAGGCGCTGGGAACTTATGTCCATTTGGTTTTCGCGTCAAGCATTA